GGGGGTGCTCCAGCCCTAGGCCTTGCCGCCGCCCTCGGCCCCCCTCCCCGGGTTGGGCGGGGGGGGGCTTCCCTTAGAAGCTGAGGGGAGAGGAAGGACGCCCTGGCCCGCGCAGAGCTCCTCGTCTCCTTGTGCCCTGGGGCAGCTTGGCTTGGCGTGCTTTCTGGAAGAAATAGCGATGACCAGGCAGTCGCCTGCTGTACAATTTATAGGGTTGACGGCGTTTCTTGATCCTAAAAAATGAGTTTGGGTGTCACGGCTGTGCAGATGGCATCTCACCATCTAACTTCGTATTTTTCTGTGCCTCAGGAAGACACTCGGTGGGGGGAGAGCGAGTTAAAAAAATTACGGCGCTTTCGCTGAGGTGCAGATGCTGGCTTGTTGTGCAGCCAGCAGCACATCGAAACCGGCGTGTTTCACGCTAGTGTCTACATTCATGTCTGGGTTCCCGCGTCGGGAGTAGGCTGCCTTCAATGCCGAGCGCCCTAGGCTGTTCTGTGGTTGGTGAGAAATGCAGCTGGCCATCAGGTGCAACGCCAAGCTTAGCCAGTTTTGACGTAACGTGCAGTATTTCTCAGTTTGCACTGCTGTGCATCGTTTGAAACAACCTTTCAGCGGCAGCTTCACAACTGTGTATTCTTCAGGAGCAGCACCCCCGGACTGCGTAGTATGAGGCTCTAAAATTGTCGCCTTAACTTGGTGCCTCTAAGCCGATAATTGATGAGAAAGTTTGAGGCTAGGAGCCCACCTAGTAGTCCACTGCCTGCGGCATTTGGGAGCGATTGCCTGAGGGTTCTGATGAATTCCTCATACCACAAGAAGAATGTCGGAAGTTGGCAGGGGAAATATCGTCTGTAGTAAGCAGTCGGGTTCCCTCTAGTGAGGTAGCAGCCACGCAACCTCTTCTAGCAAAGCACCTAGACTGGCAGAGGACAAAACCCGCAAATAGTTGCCTGTGTGCTTGTGTTGGTGCCCGTGTGCAGCCTGCTTGCTGTTTGCCTGGCACGCTGCTGGTGGAGCGGTGCATGTGAGTACTTCTTAGTTGGCTTCAGGCAAAATATGCCAGCTCTCATAGACTGCACAACAGCAAACCCATGGAATCTGATTTACAGCTACCTCCTGTTCTGTACAAATACTAGGGAGAAAATAGCAATCAATTTGTTTTAATTCCTTCAAGACGGTGTTTTTTTCTTTGCTTTGGCAAATATTTGGAAGTATAGTTGCTTCCTTTATTTGAAAATCACCTTTCTCAGTGAAATGGAACCAGCGGTGAATAAATTCTTCCTACACAATGTAAATGTGCCAGCTCCAAAAGAGGGGAAAAAAAAACCCAAACCCAACAACCTCACAATCGGAAACCTTTTATCGGGAAGTAATGTTAAAATAAAACAGATGTGAAATTTATTTCACGAATTGCTATTGAAACACTACAGCTTGAACTTATTTTTTAGTAGGGCATAGTTTGGGGTATGGGTACAGTTTGACTTTGTTCTGCTTTTGTTTTATATTTTGCGGTACAGTTTAAAAAATGCAACACAGTGAGTAAACCGGAGAATATTCTTTCTTCATTGTAAAGTGCTGCCATGCGTAATACATATTTAGTCAGTTTGTTATGAGCTTTTGCTATTCAGTAGTAATCCAGTGACTGGTGTGAGACTATTAAAGCAATATTTCAAAGATCAGTGCTTTTTAAATGTGGTCTGAGACTGCTGCTTTGAAAAAAATGAGCTATTGCAAATAGTGACAGAACTTCCATTGTTTGGTTTTGTTTTTTTTCTTTCTCCATTTCCCCTAATTGAGTGTAGTCATCAAATACATATCACAATTCTGAGCTAGTTTATACATGTGAATGCCAGTAGTTTCTCTGAAGTCGCTGAGCTATTCCAGTTTGTAAGTCTGCGTGCTTACAGTATTAGGGGTTGTGGTCTTGTTTTACAGTACGTATCTTTTCCCATATTTGATTTTGTCTGGTGGATATAGTCAAGCATTTTGAATGGTTAATGCTACTGGGACTTTGGGAAGCAATGACTGTTGGGACAGCTATTAAACTGAGTTACAATTTAACACAAACGAGGGAAAAAAAAAAAGAAAATAAAAGATTCAAATCCTTCATATTTTGCAGTCAAGCTAGTTTAATTAACCTCTTTCTTCTGGTGCCTGGTGTAATTTAAATACTAATGTTATCATTTTTTATGTTCTCAAGAACTGATGAATGGATCTTAATTTCCAGTAAAATTTCGACATGATTTAGGTCTTCCTTCAGTCACTACTACTGTTTTAGAGCTGTGGTGCGTTACCTGCATTGAATGGTATTGTTAGCAGCGTTAATCACAGTGATTTGTAATACGGGTCATTTATTGTTACGAATTCTCCATTTTCAATTCTATTGTGTGTACACTCAAATACTAGGTAAGCAATAATCTTATTTAATATATGGTACAGTGTGTGCACCTCCTCCATCAGAAAGGAAAAGAGGGAATTTGTAAGAAACTATCTAAACCTATGGGCATTTGGCTCCACCTTCAGAGATAAGGAAGAACAAATGACGAACATTTATTGACTAAGCTGCCCTGCCTGCCTTTCCTCAGAAGTGTAGGAGTAGGTTTGGTTTTTTTTCCTTAACGAACTGTAGAGAATACTTGTGTGGAGCTGATGCCTGGGCCTCTGTTTTGAGAGACCTGTGTGATCAACAGCAAAACCTGTGGTTAATGTTACGTGTATACTTTGCAGAAACCAGGCCTTAATGTAGTAGTATTTCTGCATATGGCATTTTAGGGAAAGTGTCCAAGTAAGTGGCAGCCCAAAGTCTGTGCAGAAGGGCTGTGGTAGAGTTATAATAATGCCTTTTTTCCTTCTTTCGTTACTCCCTTAAAGCATGGTTTTCTTTTTGTGGTTTCACAGGAGCGTTTGTTTTGTTTTCCTAAGTTGCATGTTGTAATTATTTTTTCTTTTGTTGTATATTAAGAAATAATTCTGAATGTGTCAATTTTAATTTTTCTTTATAGGTTCTGCCCAGTTGGTATTTAGTGTGACAGAGGTCGTTGAAAGAACTGTCTGTAATAAAACCGTCACTTTACCTTGCCATGTGACTAATCTGAAGGAGAACAATACATATGCCATGTTTGTTACATGGAAAAAACAAGGAAAAATAATTTTTTCTTTTGATGGAGCAACACAGGCCTTTTTCAAAGATCCAATGGTTCCATCAGCTGACTTAGTATCTCAGGCGGATTTACCCAAGGGTATTGCCTCTCTAAAGCTTAACAGTGCAGAAGCAGAAGATGGAAATTACAGTTGTAAAGTAACAGAATCAAGCAGAGAAGGAGAAACAAGAGTTGAACTTAGAAACCGCTCAGGTGAGTTGCCTGCCATTGTTTTGGAACCTGTTGGGAGAGAAAACAAGCAAAATTTTATGGGAAAGAGAAAAATAATGAACATGGCAATATATTACTTTAAATTGAAAATACAAAAAATGTTGCACCCAGGCCTTCAAACTTGAATGATACTATGAGTTGTTTTGGATTAAGTTACTGGGGAGTGCATCTGTGGGAAAGATCCGAACACATTTTTTTCATTCCGTGATAATGTCTCAAAATCATTTGTCTAATATAGTAAAACCTATGCTTTCCCATATGTTTTAGATTATATAGTTGGTGATAATTTCAGCACCCTCATGTTATTACATTACGTACTGAAATGTACTCCTGATATCCTTGTGATACTGAGCTGTATGCATCCGTCACAGTGGCTGCAGAAGTCTTTTCTTTCAAGAACTGCAACTTCCAATCTTTAGCTATGCTGGAAAAATTACAGATAGAACTAACAGAAATTCTGTATAAGAGCTCAAAAACTTGATCTGAAGGTATGCAGATTTCCAGTGCTGCTACTAGATGGTAACTTGTTACGGTTTTCTAGCATTAATTATTGTCTTCAGAAGATGAGGTTAAACTAACATAATGGTGACTAAGTGATAAATTTCTTGTTTAGTGAGCCATTTTACCTTGTCTTGTCAGATGCAGCCCATGTGTTCTAGCGCCTCAGCTACTGAGTGATGAGATTTGTACATGTGCAGCCTGTCTGGTATTCTGCAGAAGTGACAGTTACACTGAACGTATGTGTGTATAGTTTATCTCTTCTGCACAGGAGACTTGCGTCTTGCTTCTGGAAAGCTGCTCAGAAGCACTGAACGTGTTATATATGCATAGCACATGGAGTCTTACCTGTGCACTGTAGAATTGTCCTAGGATGTTTTTGCTATTATATTTTGCGTTTGTCATTAAAATGTTTATGAAGCTCAAACAGATGTTACTTGTGTCCTGCTGGAAACATCTGTGTAATTCACAGTGGAGTCTAATTATTGACTTAACCATATGCACTGCAAAGCAAATGTGATTCTGAAATGAATTGAAAGGGGTACAGCCACTGAAAGAGTGAGGATGCTACAATATCATTCAGTTCTTAGAATGCTGCAAAACCAGGGGAAGAGGTATAGGCAGTTTCCTTCTCTTACACCTTCTTCCTTACTCAGCCTTTTTGGACTGTTTTTGCCATACAGTGTTAAGCTCTAGAACAGGAAACAAGGCTTGAGAATGTAGTAGAATCAAGTCCAATTTGCAAGTTTTATTGTTTTGTTATTACTTTCTCTGTTTTTAGAGTTTTGAAAGTGGTATGAAGACTACAAAGCAGGAAACTGATGTATTTTTTCTAATTTCATTTTCTAGTTGTCAGTTGCGACGAGGAAAGTACTTCAACACCAAAGGAAAAATGTGGTTAGTGAAGAATTTATAGTTGCGAGGTCACGTTAGGTTTGAGAGAGTATGCTATAAAATGTAAAACTTAGTCTTGTGTTTGAGAGTTTGGCTGAAGTTGAAACAGTCGCTTGTTCTCTCTTTAAGTTCTTTTGCATAATTTTTTGGTGTTTGTTCCTCAGTGTTCTAGAGAGACTCTTAAGATGATAAGCTAATAGAAGAAAGCGTAGCAAGTGAGTTTTGAAAAGGGCTAGTGAATAATGGATATCCTGTATCAGTCTTCACTCTGTCATTTCTGAGCAATGATTTCATGCTATCGCTAGTAATATGTTCCAATTGATGCTTTTACAAAGAAACAAGAGCCAACTAGTCTCCATCTTGCTTTACAGAATTCCCGGATTCACATAGGAAATGGGTGGCAGAGTGAGAAAGGTTTCTTTGCCCTTATATTTGGGCACTCTCTTTCCTGATCAGTTACCTTCACAGGAGGGCGACAGCAAAGTTTCCCATTTATCTTTTCTGCTTCTTTCTTCTCTTTTTACTTCCTCTTCTCTTCCCCCTTCCCTCCTCCCCTCTGAAGTCTCTTTTGCTTATTTGGAATTGATTTCCTTATATTAGCTCTCAGAATAATACTTTTCGCCCAGAGTTTATTTTATTGCTATGAAGCACCAGAGTAAGGGAAATGTATTACCAGGAAAATATGTTCAGCTATTTCTCGTACTTGCATGTTGCATGTACCAGCAGTATTGCAAGCATTTCCACACAATAAGTGCTTTTAGACTCTTTTAAGACTGGCCATATGTGGTTCCACATTGCGTGCTGAAGTCCTAGCAGATACCAGGCTTCATGGCTGCTTTTTTTTTTTTCTATTTGTAATACCTGGTAGTGTCATCTGGCAGTGCTACAGAGGAAATGAAGCTGCTTTAGAATCTCTGCTTGCAGTTAGTTTCAATTCATTAATAATTCTCAGTTACAGTGAACAGAATTACTGGGATTTGCCTGTAGGATTTGGCTTATCTAGAGAATGGCAACTGCATCGAAGTCATTGTTCAATATTAGTTGCTTTTCTGAAAATGCAAATGAAGCAAAAAGCCTTTCTTTAAACAGTTCTTTAAATTAGACTTCTTTTGGTGATAAAGAAGTTGCCAAATATTCCTTCGTTTCTCTGTCTTTAGTATGTTTTGTGGTTGCCTTGTATTTATGTTGTAACCACAGTGTCTTCTTCTGTGACCCCCTTGTCGGTGGAGGGGAGTTTGTGAATTTAAAACTGTCCTCAAGGTATGTACTTGGCATTGAAAGTTGTGAAGTATTGCTACTTATTTCCATGTTTCTGGAGCTGCAGATACAGCTTTTAAATACGGAGCGTAAGTGCAAGGAGTATGCATCTAAATGGAGATTAGAAATATTTTTGGAAGCAAGTGTGCAGACAGAGGAGTGGTGGCAAGTATAATGCAAGAAATTGAGACTTTGGATTGCACTGAGGGAGTCTAAACAAAGTTATGAGCAGAGATGGAAGAATCCATTTTCTAGTTCAGTGGAGATACTTTCAGAACTTTGTGTTGGAAGGTGACTTACATGGTCTTACAGCATGAGTGACTGAACAGTCTAAGGCATCCAAGATGCAGGGGGAAAAAGACTAAACAGAAGATTTCTGAAATTAACAAAGCAGTGTTTCCTTCTCACTTAGGTTAGCTCCTGTATTCCTTATCACACATCTGGATTTCTTCAGGAGTTACCACAGTTGGGGGTAGAATAGAATAGCTAGGGAAGCACCAAACTGGACTCTTTAGATCTTTCCCAGCTTCCCTGCTTAGCCTAAATACGCCGTTTTTCTGATCTTACTGTGCCGTTTGTCGTTCTGCAAGCTAACAAGCTTGTACTGCCGCATGATAGCATAAATGTATCCTCTGCTGCAGTGGAGGTTAAGACCTCCAGTTTGTAAAACTTTAGGGTAACTAGAAGTACTGAAAAAATAGGTTGTCACACAAAAGATCAGAGTGAAAAATACACAGGTAGAAGTCATAGCTTTCTTAGCCTGTTATAACTTTTAATGCTAACTATTACATACAGTATTGAGAAATCTAGAGAATAGCCTAAAAGAGGCAATAAATGTGTGTAAAGCTAATAACGTCAGTTTTTGTTTTATTCCTACCATATTTTTTTTGTTTATTCTCTAGGATCATGGTTTCTTCTACTGCATAGGGCTATCATCATAGCGTTGCTGTTCTTAGTTCTTGTTTTGTGTTCGGCTCAGTTAAGTGTTATTGGTAAGTATTGCTCTTTAATTCTTTGCAGTTACTGATTTGTCATAAAATTGCTTGCATAAAGGCATCCATGTAAGGTGGAAGATGAAAGAATTCTGCGTTGCATAGCCTTCCATTTCCTTGTCAGTGAGCCTTGCACTCTTTCAGGACATGTGACATACATTTTCGGCATCAAGCTACGAAAACACTAGTCTAGCATAGCATTTGCAGTTTGGGGCCTTTGAACTGAAAAATCCCCATGACCTCGTCCAGATGATGTGTGTTTTGGGGCTTCGGCATGCCACATGGTGCCCCAGTCATGCAGTGTGGACACAGGCACTGTGTTGTAGGGGATCTAGCTGTAAGCAGTGGGATCTGGGCCAATCTGCTCCATTTGCTTGGAGGCCAGGGTTTGCTCCCTGGGGTTGGTATTTTTAGCATCTTGATGTCTTTGTAGATAAAGGTATGATGTGCAGCCTAAAAGGTCTGTGTTCAGAGCTAGTCTGCCATGCGGTGATGTTTTTGCTGCCAATACTGTTGCAGACGATGAGGTTTTTTGCAAGTGTGCAATTTTTGTGGGGTGAAATTGGAAATGTCTACTGTCATTGGTTAGAACAAGGAAGCTTTTCTTCGCTGTTGGTTCACCGTGACATTGAATCGTTAGAAGCAGAAACATGTTTCATTTTATGGTCGTAAAGTTAATCATAGAGAAAAGTGGTGCTCACTTCTTAATGTAAAATTGTTCATTAGTCTTTTTAGCACTGGCTGAGTTATAATTTAACACTGACATCAGTGATTTTGTTAAATGTTTTCAGAGGCAGTACTTTCACCAGTGTCACACATCCTTAGATGTTCTTTATACACTGGTGTCCAACACGTGTGCAATGTAGAGTGTGCTATATGTCCTAGTCTTTCAGATGGTTCCCTGTGGTGCAGTTTGTTACAGTAGTCTTGGACGTTTTTTCGGCCTTTTTCTATTTGTAGACTTCTGAAAAATAAAAAATTTCTGTTTAGAGTTGAGTCTATAAGAAACGGAAAGAAATCACACTCGGAGTGATTTATAGTAATAACATATTCAGCTATCTATATATAATTTCATTTATTACCTTTTCATGAACCTCTGAAAGTGGTATGTGACTTTTCAAAGGTCCATCCGTGGTCAGAGGTTGACAACTAATACATATTTTTAAAATTACTGCATTTCCATAGTGTTAGATTCCAGATTGTTATTATTTATAATGGTTTAGGAGTCTCTGATTGGTTCTAATATGTTCAGGAATTGTCATTGCCTTCCATTTGTAGCAGAACTTCCACATTTTTAGCATTTTGATAGCAAAGTAATAGTTGTCCTGAAATAAGCATGAATTGCATCCATGGAGAAGCACTGTCATTTTACAGGAGTAAGTTGAGCCTGCTTGGATTTTATTGCATCTGTGCACTTTATTGCGAGGTCTGTGACCTCTGTGGGGAAAAGCAATTGTGCTACCTCTAACTTAATAAATGTGGGTGTACTTACTGTTTGTTTTTGTTGTTTGTTTTTTTGTTTGTTTGATTTGCACTATGTTAGTTAACCTGTGAATCCAGCAATACTACAATATACCTTTAAATAGTTTGTTAAACTGGGCTTGGTTATTCTGTGTAACACTTGGGAATATATGTTTTCTTGTTTTTGTGTTTTATGGGGGGGTTTGGTTTTTGGGGTTTTCTTAGTCAGTTAGTTTGGGATGGGGTGGGTTTTTTTTTTTTTGCTTAGAGGATTGGCTTTTAGGATTTAAGTATAGCATATCCATTGCTTATTTTTGCTGTTGTGTCTTGCTTTCCTTATGTAGCATATTTATAATACAAAAAAATGTGAATTTCCAGTACAGATATGCAGCAAGATTTTACTATTACTACTATTCCATAGAAGTTTTTGGTTTAAACGACAGTAGTACTTGGGGGTATGACTGGGGTCCTGTTGTGTTAGACCATGTGGGTATAATGAAAGATAGTTTTAATTACAAGAGAGAATATTCTGTAATCCTTCTGTAGGTAAGATACTATTAAAGATTTTGTCATATGTACCCTCTAGAATATTTACTGTATCCTTGTGATTTTTTTTGTGCTAACACAGTGCCTGTTAATGGGATGTTAATTCTGTACGTGCTACTTGTTTTTCTTTTTGAAGTTAGTTACAGTATTTGTTTGTTCTCTGTCTGTGATTACGGGTTTCAGCATGTACCAAGATTGTTGGTATATTAATTTTCAAGCTTGGAGCAAGAGCTGTATTTTTTTGTGTCTTAGTTTTAGCAGTGTATAAGGCAGAAACAAACACAGCTTATTATGATGTTGATGTTGTATTTGTACTGTTTCTTCTTTTCCAAAGACTGTGAAAGTGCTGCTGCATTGAAACCCTCCACTGGAATCCACCATTTCTGAGATGGCAGCTATTTAGCAGTGCAGTTACGCTGAAAATTTGTCTTGTCTGTGGCATCTGAGCATGTAGATCGTCCCGTATCTATTCATCCTCAAAGCATTCTGAGGAAGGGCTGAGGGAGCTGAGATTGTTTAGCCTGAAAAACAGAAGGCTGAGAGGGAACCTTATAAATGCTTATAAATATCTTAAGGGTGGGTGTCAGGAGGATGGGGCCAAACTCTTTTCAGTGGTGCCCAGCGACGGGACAAGGGGCAGCGGGCACAAACTGGAGGATAACAATTTCCATTTGAACACGAGGAAGAACTTCTTCACTCTGAGGGTGACGGAGCCCTGGAACAGGCTGCCCATGGAGGTTGTGGAGTCTCCTTTTCTGGAGATACTCAAACCCCGCCTGGATGAGGTCCTGTGCAGCCTGCTCTAGGTGACCCTGCTTCGGCAGGGCCCTTGGACTAGATGGTCCCCAGAGGTCCCTTCCAACCCGTAACATTCTGTGATTCTGTGAGATGGGAACATCACTCTGTTCCCTAGGGGATAGAGGTGATATGTCTGAGCTCACACAGTGTCATGGGGAAGAGAATTAAACCTGGAATTTTTAAATCCCTGTCTGACACTCACCTGAGTAACAAATTCACTGTGACATTTTTTAAATGTCAGTTGTTCATCTACTTGAATTAACTTGTACCGTGTCCCAGAGTTATTTTGATAACGTATCACCTGAATTGTATAGAAGGTGGAATTAAGAATTTGGCTGAAACACCAGCGCCAGGTTTCATTTATCCGAGTAAGCCATATTAACCGTATCAGACAATGAGAACAAGTGAATTCTTGGTAATATTAATAGTTCTAAATTTTTAGGCATTTTTTTCTTTTAGGACAACAATCCTAATTATAAAATCTGTGTATTTTAGTGAGAGAATTTGTTTGATTGTTTTCCTCTCTTTCTCTCTTTGTTTTGTCTTTAAGCATTAAAATATGAGATTGTACCTCAGAAGAAAATGGGCATCATTGTAGCAGGTATCATCTTCACAGTTGCTGCTGTTGTAGGCACCGTTCTTTTTGTCCAAGGTAGGTGTATTCTAATTGCCTTCTTAAGCAAATAAGAGCACAAACGAATCTCTTCCATGCAGTACTATGGAGGTTAGTAGATTGTGATTAATAGGTGGTACTAAGTTAAAAAAAAAAGTACAGAATACAACTAAAAGAGCATTGTGGTTGTCAGGCCCTCAGATGATCATAGGGAGATACAGACTCCAAATTTATTCCTATTTTCTGTCCTGCTACCTTGGGTGAATATTAGGGTCTAGGGAGTGACTTCTGGTGCCTCAGTGGGATTTATTTCTGGACCCTAAAACTTGGTGATACTAACAATTTGCTTTTGTTGCTTTGTGCTTTTTTCCAATCAAGGATTTCTGTTTTACTAATTTCCATGCAAATGTTTGCAGATGGCTATACCGCACAGAATCAAGCTGGTCTTGGCCTAATTGTAGTCCCTGCTGTGATTTTGGTACCGTTGCAATACTTCATGTTTGGAATAGGTGAGTATTTATTTATTCACTAGCTCAAGAACACACTGATAGAAAAACTGAGCTCCCCCTCCCAGTAATCTACATGCTATTTTCATTCTTAGAAATTGGTACTGTGATAGCATGCTGGGTTCCTGACCTTCCTCGTATCTCAAAACAAAATGTTTAACCTGTGTTTGTTTGGCTAAGTTGCTTCAGGGAAGAAGTATAAGTTACTGGCTTGAAAAATGAGATTTAGGATAGGACATCTGAGTGATACCTGCTCTTCCTGCTTGGGTCTTGGGACTGGGATGAATGACTAACTCTCAGAATGTATGTGTTTAATTTTTTCTACTTATGGTTTGTTGATAATTTGATTTATATATACATATATTTGTGTGTGTGTGTATACATACAAGAGTGCTGAGTGACTTGCAGTGACTTGAGAGTTTTGTTATCATACTGGCTCACTGAGCTTAGAATTTAGGAGAATCTGATTTTTAGTTTTATGTGAATGACCTACCTTTTGTATCTCCTTAGTTAATCTTTAAAAATTAAAATTCTTTTTCTCTTTCTGTATTTCCCAGTTTTTGATAGTCTACCACAAGCAACATTTGCTCTGATAGGTTTGAAAATTCTTGGTTACATAATTGCTGTGGTTGGTTTTGCCCTGTCTGTCTCAGGTAAGCAATTTATATTCTGTAAAAGTGTCTGTTTACTTTTGTCTATACCTGATGTTTGTTTATTTGTAACAGTAAAATGCTGTGGAAGTGGCTTCACTACATTGAGTGTTAGCAAGTAGCTTCTGTGAATGTACTTTACGACTACTGTGTTAATGCTCAAAAAAAAAAAGTTAATTGTTTTAATTTTACAACAGTTGGTGCCCTAAAGAATCACCTAAACCCAACATTGACTTTTATTACTGTTACTCTTACTGGAACCTAGGGTATTTAAGAAACTAAACTAGTGTCATAATATTTTCCTCATGTTCAATGAATAAATCAGAAATTACTTGTTAATCTCCACTTCTAAGCAACTGATAACTTAGTTGCTGCAAAATGAATACCATTGAAACTGCCTAAGAAGGCAAACACAGGGCCAGTAAACTTGGAAGTGTTCTTGGACTGTTGTAAGTCTGGTTGTGGCTGGCACTGTGCTTCAGCACAGAAAAGCAGTCCCTGTTGTGAAGGAACACCAGCTGAACACTCCACTCAGCGGTACCCGGCATCCCTGCCTCTGACCCTCCCTTTGTCCCCTCCTGCCATCCTCTCCCCACAGCAGAAGACCCCACAGCAGAGAGAAGGGTGAATTGAGGACGAGGCGTCCTTGGCAGCATATTTAGTAGTAAAATACATACTTGTGTTCATTGGAAGCACTTCATACCCCCGATGTGTTGTTTCTTAGAGATATTCTTCATTTTAGTGGTTCATTTGGTTGGGTATTGAAGAAAGACTGTTTCTCCTTGAAGTGGTTTCTGAAGGTTTGTCTACTCTGGGTGAAATGATAGACCTTTCAGTGGAGTTGTGCTTTGAATTTTATGCTTGTTGTTTAGGATTTACAGAAGTATTTGTAAGGGGTGCCTAAGTGTTGTCAAATGTAATAGTGAAATAAAGTGATGGGAGATTTCTGGTAAAGCCTTAATGCTCTAGACTAATCCAAAATGGAGGATGTTTTTGTTATGCTCTGAAATGGAAAGTCTTCCTAGTTTTAGAGGGTGACCTTTTCACAGGTCATGTAAGATAGATGTTGTCTGTATCTCTGGAAGTTTAGCTCAATGACCCATAAATGTTGGTAGAAATTGCTCATCCTAGGTTGAACTCACAGGTGGCTGCAATGACTTGATGCTGGAAACAAGGAGCAGAGACTAAGGGGTTTCTGTTGTGAACAGTGGTAGGTTGTAATAGTCAATTCCTGTGCTGTGATACCCCTGTAAACATGGGGCGTTCCTGTTATCTGTGGTGGACTTGCCTCAGAACTACACTGACACTGTTCTCCCTTTGCGTTTTTTTTTTACCCTGTTTTATCAGTGACAGTACTGTCTTATCTAATGCAGTTATAGTTCAGACAGTTGGGATTGAAAATGTGAGTTTAAATTTAAAATAATTTAAAATACAGTTAATCATAGAATCATAGAAAGTTTTGGGTCTGAAGGGACCCCTAGAGCTCATCTAGTCCAACCCCCCCACAGTGAGCAGGGACACCGCTAACTAGATCAGGTTGCTCAGAGCCCTGTCCAGCCTGGTCTTGAATGTTTCCAGGGATGGGGCCCTCTCTGGGCAGCCCGTTCCAGTGTTTTACCACCCTCATTGTAAAGAATTTCTTCCTTATGTCTAGCCTAAACCTACCCTGTTTTAGTTTAAAACCATTACCCCTTGTCCTGTCACTGATGTCTCTACTAAAAAGATTGTCCCCATCTATCCTATAGGCTCCCTTTAAGTACTGAAAGGCTGCAATCAGGT